TTAAGAAACTATCTTCGATATCGATTTTTGTTTTGTCAAAGAAAATTAAAAAATTATTTTTTTGTACGAAAAAAAAATTAGCTATTATAGCTAAATTTTAATTGCCTCTATATATATTAAACATAAAATTTAATTATCATACTTACATTTTAGTTATGATAGCTAATATAATTTTAGTTATAGCATTCTCTGCTAAATTATAATTAAAATTATTAATTACCATAACTAAAATTTAGATTTGATAACTAAAATTAACATATAATAGTAATATATGGACAACTACACTGAGAGAAAAAAAGTTGTAAACTTGAGAGATTAAATCGTTTAACTAATTACTATTTTATTAATTGAATATATATAAGTATTTAAGCCAAAAAACGTTATGTTAGATTTAATGTACTATAAATATATTTAAATTAAATAATTTAAATACTTCTATATGTTCAATTAACAAAATAGTAATTGGACAATTTAGTCAAGTTAACAATTTTTTTCTTAATGTAAAATTTGGCTATGATAGCAAATTTTCTTCCGTGTCTGACAACTTTTCGACATACATATATAATGTAAGTATTTAACAATGCGAGATATTATACACATAAATTTAAATTAGAATTAAAATAAAGTCTCTTTCAAATTAATCGAGAGACAAAGTTTGCTACATGTTAATTATGTCAATTATATATTCTTATCATTACTATATAAAAATAACATATATCTTTCATCTGGTTCTTGTCTCGCACATAAAATTAATGTATTACAATAGTTAGAAAATATAATCAATAATTAAAAAGTATACACAATAATGAATAAATATTATATTAAATGCAACTATAATCATCTTAATGAATTATTCCAAAATAAAATAAATAAATAAATAAAATGAATCTTTAGAAAAAATAAGAACTGAATACTAATTAAAAAGTATACACAATAATGAATAAATATTATATTAAATGCAACTATAATCATCTTAATGAATTATTCCAAAATAAAAAAAATAAATAAATAAAATGAATCTGTAGAAAAAATAAGAACTGTCCAAAAACTGTAAAAAGTTAAAGATAAAAAAAAACGGATATAAAAGACGTCTCTCTCGGGCATCTGAGAATCGACGAAACTTTCGTAACGAGGGCTGCCGGCGCGATGCGAGATAAAAGGGGGCGAGAAAGAGAGAGAGGTCAGCAGCCGCCCCCTTTTGCTTCGTTCGTTTTCTCTCTCTCTAACCCTCGGACAAGGGGTGAGTGACTCACGTTCCTCGGCCTCGTCGACGTCGGGACGCGGACGCCTACCCACCAAATATTGATTCGCTCGCCCGAGGAACGCACGCGTCGCAACGCGTGTCGTATCGGGAGACTTTCTCCCGCGATGCTTTCGTTATACAGCATATACCCTTTTCGCTTTTAAGTCTTCCCCTGGAATCGAATTTCCCTCGGGGACGCGTGTCTCTTCTCGAGGCGACTCACGATTTTTTGGTCCTATTTTTTTATTTAAGAGAAGATGTCGCTTTAATTAAAGGGACGGCGGCAAAAGTCGGAGCAAGTCCACAGTTTGTAACTTTTTAAATATGCAACGTCGTAGTTTAATATTTTAACAGAAATTTTAATCCACTCTGAAAAAAATCAGCAATGTATCTTAATTATTAAATGCATCGCTATTTTTTGTCGCTCAGATGTAGATAATTTTTTTTTAAAGAAAACGTGATTTAAATGCCTAAGATTTATGTAAGATCATTGTTTGATAAATGTAATCAGGTAATTATACGTGCATAAAAAAGTTACTTTTTTTTAAATGACTTAATAATAGCAAATTATATGTAGCATTAAATTTCTTTCTACTTTGTATACAATGATTCGTGAGAACGAAACTAAAACTCTTGCGTTTCTTTCTAATTGTAAGCATTATAACGAATAAAAAAAATCTTTTATAATTACATTTTTCTTTAACTATATATTTTCATTTTTAAACTAAAATATGATAATAAACAGTGCATTTGTACTTGTCAAATTCAAATTTAAATGATTAAAATAGCGAAAATAATAAACAACAGAACTCCAACAAGAGGGAGAAAAATTTCAAAATCCAAACCCTCCAAAAATTCTTCATATCTTTTTTCATAATTTATAAAAGACAGATTAGGTTTCTCGCAAGTTTTCTCCTGAATTTGCATTTTTAAACTCATAATATTTCTTTAAAGCTCCCCCTCTGAATTCTGATTGATACATAGCAAATAAATATATATCGATTGACAGAGCGCGCGCGCGCGTTTTTTTTTCATCGACAAGAGAAGCCGCGCGGGAAAGAGACTCCTTCGCGACCGGATAACGAGTCTACGTTATCCGGCACATCGTCGGCGGCAATTAAAAAGATCGCTTTTCCCGTGGGAAAGCGACCGCTCGAGGGGGAGAAGGAATACGCGCAAGAAGAGGACGAAGAAGAAGCTTCGCATGCAAGAAGAGGAAGAAGAACCGCGGTCGCAGAGGTCACTCACCGTCTCGCCAAGGTCGCCGTCAAAAATCCGTCACATCTCTCGTCCCCTTTCGCGGGAATCCGCGATAGCACACAGTTGATCTCGATGCGCGTCGCACTCCGGCACTCTAACGTATCGTCGAAGGAAACGCGAGTTCTTCGCGCGAATTCATCACCAAAAATATCACCGCAAAATTCGCGCTGCTCTCGCGCGAAACGCACCGCCTCACGTCGGCGTCGCGACTGGAGTCGCCGCGCCGATCGCGCGCCACCACACGTGCGCGTCGCTCGCTATCACACGTGCGCGACGCTCGCTCGACTACACTCGCACGTGAGTGCCGCGCGAGTGCGCGCGCTCACACCTGTACGTGATCGGTGACGTACATGTGGCACTCCGAACCCTTTTTTTCCAAATATCTTCCATTTTTGTCAACGATTTCTAGATATGCGTATGCATAATTATATAGTAATAATTGTAGTAAAATTATAGTAAAAATATATAATATGTACATATATGCAATTGATGAAATATGTAGTATATGCACAGAAAGAATTTTCTTTTAGAATTTATTTTGAAAATTATGCAATGATATAGTACTGGAAGAATTTTATTAGAGTTTTTCTCCTTAATATTTTTACCACAATAAAAATGTGTTAGTATTTTTACTGTGTATATATATAGTAAAATTAATTGAATATTTTTTACATTTTATTGTTATAGATATTAATATTTTTTGTTGTGGCAAATATAGATCAGAGAAACTTTTATAAAATTCTTTCAATACATGTATATATAGTAAAATTATTAATGTACATAATAATAAAATTAATCGAACACATTTTATATCTTATTGTAATAGATATTAATATCTTTTATTGTGATAAATATTAATCAGAGAGACTCTTGAAAAATTCTTTCATCACATCATTGTCCCACGATTACCATGATTTTCAGGTAAATTCTAAGAGAAAACTCTCTCCATGTAGTAATCCTTATACATATATGTATATAATTAATAGTTTAATATATATAGTATTAATATATTAATTGTATATAATTATACAGTAATTTATGAATTTAGAACGTTCAGTTTTAAAGATATGTCATTTGTATTCTTTTGATGATTTTGCATGTGATTGAGTTAATCCTAATATATTTACATATTTATATATGATGCATCTAATTGATATATATCGAATAATTATAAAATGACAGCTGTAGTCTGATTTAATTAAATAATATTGAATTTTCTTCTGCGATTTCTCATCGTGAATCTGAGGCAGCCCAGTTTTAACGTCGGCCCTGGCTACGCATTTATTCATTCGGATACGTGTGTGTATGTATGTATTTATATACGTATGTATGTATGTGAGTGCGTTGTGCGTACAAAACGCGATCGTAACCGCCGGAGGACGACTACCTGTTCGCCTCGTCGACTCCAATCAGTAACACGTCGCGATGAAGATAAAACGAATCAAAATTGCATTAAAAGACGAAGTCGAGATTTAATTACACGATATTTAATTAGAAAATTAAGAAGATGTAAAAAGGACAAATATTTCATAAAATTATTCCTTTAAATTGCTTGAAAAAAATCCGCGAATAAAATTTGTGTGTCTGTAACTTTGTGGCACCCTATATAAGTGAATTCTATTATCTGTGTGCGTATGTGTGTGTGAAGACACCTGCTGTTTTTTAGACACATGTCGGTCTTCCCGTTGGTTTCTTAAGATTGTGGAAACAATTTTTAAATTAGAAATATCAGGATTCAGGAAGCAAACGTTAATTAACAAAGACGTATTTTATATTTCGGGTTTTAATAATGGTTGGCTTACGTAATCGTGAAAGGATTGACTTGAATCAATTTTAAAAGAGAAAGGAACAGCCTTTGTCATCTCCTCCTGAGTTGGCGCGTCGACGCACAGGGTGCGCCAGCTCGTGGACAATGATATTCTTTTTATCTTTCTGTATATACATGTATAAGAAATATATATATTATATATTTTATTTTATAAAAAATAATTCTGAAAAAATTAGAATTTTTTCTGAAGCATATACTGGCTAGTTTCAAGTTAAAACGCGTTAATAGTACCGGTTTGTAAAGAAGAATTAAAAAAATATTTTAATTAACAATCTAAAACATTTTTGTTCATCCTCTTAATCTATCCTTGGAAATTAAATCCAATGGATAGAATGAATCTGATAGTTGAGCGAAAGTGCAATCATCCACGAGCATCGATCGTCATTAATCGTTAAACACGTGTTACCGGTCCGAATCCTTTTTTGTCTCATCGTCGAATAATCCTCATCGTCAAGAGAGAGACGGAGATCCGAGTCGTCTTAATTAACCGATAGGATATCAAGCTGAAGAACCGGAATCGACGTCGGTCACGGAATCCCGCGAGTAAACAAGACACGTATGACGCGAAGTTAATTTATTATCGAGAATTAACATCCGAGGAAAGAAAAAATTGGCTGTCACCACGTAATTTGTAATTTACAGATCGACTGTGAATAATCTCGGGCTGAAATGGAGCCGAAATACGTAATCTGCGGCTGTCCCGAACTGCACTCGAGCAACGCGAAAAAATGTCAAGAAGTAGATGCAAATCGTACGATAGAGAAATTGCGACAACTCGTATCGGATCCTGTCACCAGCGATCATGTCGAGCGGATATCGCGACTCCTGTGCCATTATCTACGCGAGATCGGCGACGACGGCTACGTATCCTTTCATCTATCGATTTTATCGACGTATTGAAAAGTAGAAAAAAAATTAAATCAAATTGTTTATCTCGTTAAAAAAATGCATGTCAATATTGCACTCGCTTTATGCAATTAAAAAATGTGCAGTTGATTAAAATATTGTTAAGATTTTTGTTAAAATTAATCAAATGACCATATTGATTAAAAGATATCGTTCAATGATATCTTTAATTATACGATGTGATAGCTTTTCGGTAATTAAAAGATAAAATCTTTTAATAAAGATACTGTTTAAATTTAAGTGAGAAGATTTAGCGAAAATTTCTCATTACTATTGCTCTTGTTTTCATTTCATTCGCCTCAATGAAATGCATTTATTAGTCGCTTGCGCTACATACCTCGATTCTTCCGACATGTTTTCAAGAGCGCGTTCCTTAAAGACACCTTTCAGCCAGTCAAGCATCTGCCATCCGTAATGAAGGTGCTAGAATTTCTAGCCTGGAAGTCCAGAGAAGTCAGTGACTATCGGGTGCATCTGGACCGGATGCTGCGCTTGTGCAATCGACCGCCTTTGCTGGAACGTACTTCCGAGAGTCTCGTCAGCTTCGTCATAATGGAGCACTATTTCACGACCCTGGGATATCTTCTGATAATCTTGCCCAACGAAGAAGATATTCAGCTGATCCACGAAGCTCTCGATTGCTTATTAATCGAAAGAACGAAAGTGACGCACGTCGCAGCGACGAAGTTGGATCTTCGTCGACGAGCTATGGAGAATTCCAAATTGCCGATCATCATCGTGCAATTGCTCGAGGCTGCGTTGACGAGAATGTACCCGAAGATCTTGGAACTGACCTTCGTACTTGCCTCGGTCTCTTCTCAATGCTGTGAGTAATTTAAAAATCAATTTAAATGAGATCGATTTTTTATTTTATTTTTATTTTTTATTGCATTTTAATATAGAACATTTTTAATTTAATTTAATTTTATATATAATTCTGTCAATTTGATTTTTTTTAATGTTGATAAAATATTTGAATTAGCAAAGTGCATTTTATAGTTTGTTGAATATAAAAAGAATAAAATATTTATATATAAATAAATATTTATATAGAATAAAATTTGAATAAATTAGAAATGTGCTGTCAGAAAATGTTTTCATCCTCGGTAATAAAAGGCTTTATATTATATTGTCGAAAATGTTATGTTGAAAATTAATTGAATTAATTAAATTAATAAATTCTGAGCATTGAATTTAATAATTGAATTAATTCAATTAATTTTCAACATAACATTTTCGACAATATAATATAAAGCCTTTCATTACCGAGGATGAAAACATTTTCTGGCGGCACATTTCTAATTTATTCAAATTTTATTTCAAATAAATAAATGCTTTGAAACCCTCATCTATTTCCAAATAAAGGTTACAGAATGCTGGAAGCCGGTATACTAAATACGCTACTCACCAGAATGGATCTTCCTTACGGAACGCAGCTGCACTGTACCAGACCTCTGGACTTGCCGATCGAAGGAGAGGAATATCCAAGGGACACCATACTCCTGAAAATGAAATTGTTGTGGAGTCTCATGAGATCGGTGTTATCTTCGAAAAAGCTGCCGGAGAACCTGAAGAATCTCTCTTCGCCCAAGCAATGCGCCATGTGGTATTACTTATTTATAATAAGCGAATTAAAATTAAATCTAATCACAAAAGTACATTTCTTTATTTCTCTTAAAGCTTGGATATTATTTATTAATTATTTAGATGTTAATAATAATTAATAAATAATTCCAGGCTTTAAGAAATAAAAAAGGTATATTATTTTTTATATTGCTCAAAGATATAAATTATTCGCATATTTATTTCGGGTATGAAATGTGTGATTTTTGACGCAGTACAGGGGCTTAAGATATTCCTTCAAGCGGCAGATACTTTACAGCCGACATTGCGCTGTAAATCTGAAAATCAGAAACGATATCGCCGCTTTGATCCTCGCTGGGATCGTGGCTCTGCCATCGTGGAATCTCATCAGCAGCGGTATCGCGGAAGATATCGTCAATCTTTTACCCGCGATCGAATCTGGGACCATTAAGATATGGACGGAGGTTGTCAAGTTATCTGACAGTGACGAGGATATCTTTTTCAAGAGAATCCTGCTGATGATCATCGCATATCTCGCCGATATCGACATTTATGTTTTCGTAAGTTATCGATTTTACACGATTTCATAATAAACAAAATACACAGTGAATGCGATAAAAATTTTGTTTTGCTGTCAAAGTTTATTACGTCTTAATATTATCTTTAACATTAGTTATTCGTAAATTTTGAGATTGAAAAAACTCTTTAATCCGTTAGGTAATGAAGAAAATGATGATTATGCCGGTTGTCCTTCGAATCATTAAAGCCTACATGAGCAGTGCAAAGAATATATCGTTGATCATTTTGGAGCACGCGTTTTATATCTTGTCATTGTTAGCGCCACGAATGACGACGGAATTTGTAAAATGCAAAAGCACACTCACGTAAAAAAGAAAAAAGAAAAATAAATGAGGATTTAATATACAGTAAAATAAATTATAGACTTCTGTACCTGCAGATTATTGGCGATGCTTGATCGAGTTTTGAATACGGAATTCGACGAGCACCTTGCCATGATTGTTGCGAAAACAATCTGCTCGATAACTCTGCAAGACAAAGCTCTTCTGCTGGAGGATTTCCGGAGATTGCAAATGATACCATTGTTAATTAGTAAGAGATAAAATATTATATTATATAATTGTCACAAAAATGTTTTCAACTTTTTACAGTTACCTTTAATGGAATATTTTATATATGAAACATATATAAAAAATTAAAAGAATTTATATTTTTTCTTTTTCGGATTTTAGGATTAATTAATAATATACTGAATTTAAATAAGTTTACAACGATGAGGCAACGAATCTTAACGTTGCTGCTGATCGCCTTAGAGAATCTCATGAAAAAACAGACATCTGTTCAGCAAATGTATGGAAAGCGAAGCGTTGATCTCGTCATGGAAATCTTCTCAAAGTGTTTGTATAAAGAAAACGAGACTTTCCAAATGGATCAACGGTAATACATGGCATGTAATTTATATATAAATATTTTATCCTTTTCATATTCAACAAATTATAAAATGCACTTTGCTAATTCAAATATTTTATCAACATAAAAAAAAATCGAATTGACAGAATTATATATAAAATTAAATTAAATTAAAAATGTTCTATATTAAAATGCAATAAAAATAAAATAAAAAATAGACGAGAAAAATAAAATAATAAATAAACTTCTTGTAACATTTCTCATTTTTTTTCGACAGACTTTTGTTAGCGATAGGCTCTTACGTTTGGGAATGCGTGGCACGATGTCCCACGAATCTTCAAATATTCCTCAAGAACGGCGGATTGTATTCTATGATGGACATCGTCGAGATCACGAACTATCCCGTGAGATGTTTGTATCTTGGTGCACTCACCGATATATGCGATTGCACTTTTTGCGGGCCATGTCTCTGTACTTGGAGAGGCGCCGATAAGAAGATGGGATTGATGTCTTTGCTCACAATCGTCTGGCGAGAGGAAGAGGACAGAATCGGCATCAAAAGACGTACTGACGGCTCGATAACAGGTACAATTTCGCGAATTAAATTAATTTAACTTATATGAATTAATTAAAAATTAATTTAACTTAATTTCTTTTTCGATCTTTTTCTAGACAGAGCGGTTAAAATTTTTGATAACAGAAAGTTTAGTTCAATATACTTGAAAAGTGCACAACTATAGAATTTTTTGAATATATTTTTACAAGAACTAATTTAAATAACAACTTCCTCTTATATTTTTATAATTATATTAATTCTCGTTTTCGCAATTTCAGATATTGAATTGCCTCAAATGGGCACTAAGCAATGGATGGATACTTATCATTCAGAGGTTACAGCAGATGCTAGCCCTACTATAATCGACATGATTGGTTCAGTGCGATCAAAAATTTTTAGTATTCTAAAAATCATCGAGAGAGATGGCGATAGATACGAAATTGCTAAGAAGCATTACAAGATTCTGCTTCACGAATTGCCAATAAAAGATCGCGTAAAATTAATTATCTTCAATGAATGATCAGACAAAGACTCGTTTCTTAAAAATAATAAAAACAACAATAATGTCAAATTAATTCGCTTTAAATAAATCACCGAGAAAAAGCAGATAAATTTCTAATAAGAAAGAAGTACAAGTACAATCATATCAGTAGTCATACATTTTCAATTTCAATTTTTGATATGAAATATAGCAAGATACGAGTCGTCTGTCTCCGATTTTTAATGAAAGTAACGTCACATCTTTATTCAATAACGAACCGATCAAGTTCCTTTTTTCAGGTAACTTTATGCTGCATCGACATGTATTTGCGATTAAAGCTGGGTCAAATGTGGATGGAGCTGAGTAGATACCTGGAGCATGCAGGAATTACGCCATTAATCGTGGACGCGCATCTGATCGCTCACATGGTGCAGTGGCATCGTTCCTGGGGTATACTGATCGAGGAGCGCCAGAAGAAGCTGCTCGCGGCCGTCAAGCTTGCGGATGAGACGGCGGAGATGGACGAGCTTGTGAGGATACGCGACTCCAAGCTAGCGCCGTCCTTGGACGCATTGAACGAGATCGATCGTATCCGTCGTACGGCCGATCGATCGTACATGCTGCGTAAGAAGGATCAGCAGAGACGACAAATTAATGCTGCCTTGTCATTTCCACGTGATGCCGATACTGAACGATGTCACCGGACGTTTTTCGACAAACCGAACGTCACGGTAAAATTAACCACTGCAAGAGAGATGAAAATCATAGTGATCATGTAAAATAGATTTTTTAGATGTTAATTTTTAATTTGATAAAGAGAAGTATTAGCACTAAATATATATTACAATCATATGAGAGGTTGCATATATATAAAATAGATTTAGATTTTAATTTATTTGACAATAATAGTACTAATTACAATCATATCATATAAAGATTCTTTATATAATATTTTAATTTTTGATAAAATAAGTATCAGTACTAATTACAATCATATAAAATATAGATTTTTTATATTTTAATTTTAACTTTTACTTGAAATAGCTTCTCCATAAAATTCTGTCTAGTATTTAAAATGTTGTTGACAAAATATAAGTTATATGCTAGATTTATAATATATTTTTAAGTACTTGCTGTTTTATCTGATTAAAAGATAATCGACTTAAGATATAATCGACATAACTCTTTAGAATTAAAAAAATATATATAATTATGAGAAAATGTACGAGTAATTTAATTTAGATTTATTTCCTGTTTACGCCGTATTCTTTTTTAGGTTACTCTCAAACAACATCAATCAATCGATAGTTCGCACCTCTGGGAATCAAGAGACGTTGTTGAGTTACTTCCGGTTTCACCTCCCGATTCATCCTGCGAAGAAATCATTTCCTCCTTCGACGCTGCTTCCGATAAATCGGATTTTTACGAATGCCAACTCGCAAAAGAGTATCTTATCGAGAAATTAAATCAATAATTCCTATATTTACGTTCTAAAATATTCACACAGACTTAAAAATTGTAATAATTAAATATTATTCTTGTTCTCGTAAGATCAAGCGAAATAATATTATCTTGCTATGATAGAGCAGTTGTCCACCTTGTCGACAAGAAAATATCATCTCTTTTGACAGTATAAATAATTAATTTGACAAACATTAATCCATTTTCTAAATAAATACGATAAAAATCTATATTATTATAAAAATATACCATATCCATCTAAATTTTATTCCCCAAAATGTAACGTTAATTATTCCACTCTCTCGTCATTTAATTTCAATAGTCTTTAAATAATAAAAAAAATTTTCATACCAAAATTTCGCTCGAATCTCCGTTCAAATTTCGCGAGCGAAGAAGCAAGGGGCCTCTTCCGTCCTCCGGCGAGAGCGTTCATCTAGATGAAATCATCTAGAATCTAGATGCACGTTCGGAGGGTGGGAACCGCTCTCTGGCGAGTGGCGAACTTAGGCGAGCGGCTAGTGAGAGCGAGCATGTCGTTCGCGTCGCAAGCGAGTTCCGTCGTCGTCGAGACTCCGTGAACACTCCCGAGACACGTTCTAGGAGAGAAACCCACTTCGCGCCGGCTGATTTTAGAGCGGCTGACTTCACGCGCGAGGCCAACTTCACTTCGCGCGCGCGGTCAACTTTGCTTCGCGCGCGCGACCAAACTTCGCTTCGCGCGCGCGACCAACTTCACTTCGCTCGCTCGCTCCCTCGCTTCGCTGGCGTCAGTGTGTCGCGCGCCACCGCCGCGAGAACATCGCGTTACATTCGCTCCGCTATTTACGTTTCGACGTTTCTGGACGTGTATCCGCTCGAGGAGCAGCAGTGATTTTTTTCTCGCCCTGCTTGTTTCGTTTCTTTTCTCTCTTCGTTCGAGAGAGATTCCGCTCCTTGAATCTCTAGTCACCCCTTTTGCTCCGGTTTCTCCCTTCGTCATCCTTTGTCCTCCAGACTCCCCCAGGTCTTTTTTTTCCGTCCGTCGTGTGAGTTTCACGTGAAGCCCTCAAAGCGGAAAAGAGTGAGAGAGAGATCCTCATTGACGCAGCTATGGCGCGCGAAGAGGAGCGGTGGTGCTTCTTCCTTGACGGACAGAGGATCCCGATGTTCCTGGTCGTCCTGTGTGCCCTTCTGGTCGGATCCCTGACGGTGGTAGCCGAGCACGGTGAGTGTATAAATATAATGTGTGTATACAAATGTCATTCGTGTATATATGTGTGTGTTTGAGAGAGCACACCTCTCGATAACCTGTTGCGTATCACGGAGGATTCTTCTCGAAGCAGGCTCCGATTGTTCACGAGGAAGAGAAAAGGAACGAGAGAGCGAGCGAGAGAGAGAGAGATGTTTCTTTTTCTAGTTTCAAAGTTTCGAGATAAAGTACTTTCAAAATCAAATTCCAACGAATATCTTCGTTCGCACTAGTTGGCGAAGGAGAAGGAAACGGAAGGTCAAAGCACGTTGTAGAAAATATCCGAGACGTCGGTAAAGAGAGAGAGAGACAGAGAGAGATAGAAAGAGATACAGGTATATGGAGGAAAAAGAGGGGGAAGAGAGAAAGGAAGTGAAAAAAAAAGGTTCGACCATTCGGGAAATCTGGTCTGGGTCTCTCTCTCTCTCTATCTCTTTTTCTCTTTACGCAATTCCCCGACGATGATTCGTTCGGAGTCATCGTCGTCGTAGAGATGCACCGATGCAACGGGACCAGGAACGCGCGTATCCCGTCTCGCCGGAATGAGGTCGCTCGCTCGCTCGCTCGCTCGCTCATGGCCGAAGGCTCCGAGCGATTGTATACGCTAGTCTCAGCAGGGATGAGATCGACTACATAGTGACGAAAGCTTGCTGTACGAAGAGAATTTTCTCTGAGAATTTATTAGCCTGAAAATCATCCTGATCGTGAGACAATATTGGATTTTGAAAAATTTTTCTCTGATTAATATTTTTACCGCAATAAAAATATTAATACCTACCACAGTAAGATATGAAATATGTTTGATTAATTTTACTGTGTCCATAGTAAATTTAAATGGTAATCATGGGATAATATTGAAAGAATTTTTTTAAAGTTTCTCCGATTAATATTTTTACTACAATAAATAATATTAATATCTACCACAATAAGATATGAAATAATAAAAATAAAAATATGTTTGATTAATTTTATTGTGTCTATAGTAAATTTAAATGGTATCATGATAATCATGGGATAATATTGAAAGAATTTTTTTAAAGTTTCTCTGATTAATATTTTTACCACAATAAAATATATTAATAACCATGATATGAAATATGTTTGATTAATTTTACTGTGTCTATAGTAAATTTAAATGGTAATCATGGGATAATATTGAAAGAATTTTTTTAAAGTTTCTCCGATTAATATTTTTACTACAATAAATAATATTAATATCTACCACAAGAATAATAAAAAATAAAAATCATGTGATTAATTTATTGTAAGATATGAAATAGATTGTGGTATCATGGGACATGGTTTGATCCATGGGATAATATTGAAAGAATTTTTTAAAGTTCCTCTGATTAATATTTTTACCACAAAAAAATATTTATATTTACCACAGTAAGATATGAAATATGTTTGATTAATTTTACTGTGTCCATAGTAAATTTATATGGTAATCATGGGATAATATTGAAAGAATTTTTTTAAAGTTTCTCCGATTAATATTTTTACTACAATAAATAATATTAATATCTACCACAATAAGATATGAAATAATAAAAATAAAAATATGTTTGATTAATTTTATTGTGTCTATAGTAAATTTAAATGGTATCATGATAATCATGGGATAATATTGAAAGAATTTTTTTAAAGTTTCTCTGATTAATATTTTTACCACAATAAAAATATTAATATTTACCACAGTAAGATATGAAATATGTTTGATTAATTTTACTGTGTCCATAGTAAATTGAAATGGTAATCATGGGATAATATTGAAAGAATTTTTTAAAGTTTCTCTGATTAATATTTTTACTACAATAAATAATATTAATATCTACCACAATAAGATATGAAATAATAAAAATATGTTTGATTAATTTTATTGTGTCTATAGTAAATTTAAATGGTATCATGATAATCATGGGATAATATTGAAAGAATTTTTTTAAAGTTTCTCTGATTAATATTTTTACCACAATAAAAATATTAATACCTACCACAGTAAGATATGAAATATGTTTGATTAATTTTACTGTGTCCATAGTAAATTGAAATGGTAATCATGGGATAATATTGAAAGAATTTTTTTAAAGTTTCTCTGATTAATATTTTTACTACAATAAATAATATTAATATCTACCACAATAAGATATGAAATAATAAAAATAAAAATATGTTTGATTAATTTTATTGTGTCTATAGTAAATTTAAATGGTATCATGATAATCATGGGATAATATTGAAAGAATTTTTTTAAAGTTTCTCTGATTAATATTTTTACCACAATAAAAATATTAATATTTACCACAGTAAGATATGAAATATGTTTGATTAATTTTACTGTGTCCATAGTAAATTTAAATGGTAATCATGGGATAATATTGAAAGAATTTTTTTAAAGTTTCTCTGATTAATATTTTTACTACAATAAATAATATTAATATCTACCACAATAAGATATGAAATAATAAAAATAAAAATATGTTTGATTAATTTTATTGTGTCTATAGTAAATTTAAATGGTATCATGATAATCATGGGATAATATTGAAAGAATTTTTTTAAAGTTTCTCTGTGATTAATATTTTTACCACAATGAAAATATTAATATTTACCACAGTAAGATATGAAATATGTTTGATTAATTTTACTATGTCCATAGTAAATTTAAATGGTAATCATGGGATAATATTGAAGGAATTTTTTTAAAGTTTCTCTGATTAATATTTTTACCACAATGAAAATATTAATATCTACCACAGTAAGATATGAAATATGTTTGATTAATTTTACTGTGTCTATAGTAAATTTAAATGATATGATAATCATGGGATAATATAGTAATGAAATAATTTTTTAAAAGTTTCTCTGATTAATACTTTTACCACAAAAAATATTAATATCTATTACAATAAGATATAAAATATGTTCGATTAATTTTACTATTATGTACATTAATAATTTTACTATGTTCATATATTAAAAAAAATTTTTTTCCTCTGATTAAAATTTACCACGATAAAAAATATTAATATTTATCACGATAAAATATAAAATATATTCGATTAAATATAAACGCGAAATAAACGACTGTTACATAGTAAAATTAATCGAACATATTTTATATCTTATTATGGTAGATATTAATATTTCTATTGTGGTAAATATTAATTAGAGAAACTCTTAAAGATTCTTCCAATACCATATTATGCTACGATTACCATAATTTTCAGGTATTTGTATTCTAAGAGAAAATTCTCTCTGTGTATAGAATATTTTATTCCTTCTGAGAGATACTTGAAAATAAAAAAAGAGACGTGACAGAGAGTTAATCATCTTGAAGATTCCATATACAATAATCGTAAAATAATAAATATTAAATCAATAAATACATATTCAATATATAATTAATAAATATATATATGTATATATATATATATATTATATATAATTAATTATATTAATTAATATATAGATTAGATAGATTAATTAATCAGCACTTTAAACATATTAAATAATGTTTTCTTTCTCACATATTTTTATTCCTCTGAATTTGCTTAAAGATATTTTTAACCAAACATTAGTTTGCTTCTATGTCACCTTATTATTCTTTTTTTATTGTGTATCTCCTCGCGAGAAAAGACGTCCTATATTAACCGTTTCCTCTAGAACTGTATATAATATTATTCTATAGCGTCGCTTAACACGCTGTTGCCCCAAGCCCTTCGATTTAATGAGCTGTTTTTCTAGAATTGAAATTACGAGCGTCACGCGACAGCGTAATTGTCTCGTCGTTAAAATGCGTCGACCACTAATTAGAAGAATCATGCTCCTAGAATGATACTTTATATTTTTTCCTCTCTTTCTCTCCCTCTCGGATAAAATCATTGTCTATAAATGTTCTGCTGTATTAAGGTATACATATAAAGAGAAGATGGATTCTCTTGTGTGATGACTTCTTATTTATTTCTTTTTAAAGCTAATCGTCCCGATTTTCGCTAACGGTGCACAGAATTTGCGAGTGACAGTTTTCGTCCTTGTTCGAGAGAATTAAGGGTTATCTATTTTGCATCGTAAAATCGCTGCAATTTACTCGGAGTAGAATCGCTCGTGCAGCGATGATTCTCTTTTTATTATTGTCGTAACCGAGATGACGACGAGAATCGCAGGAATTACGACTATTGTCGTCGGCAAAAAAATTCCGGCGAATTGTTATTGGAATTGTTGACACTGTATCGGAATGTCAAGCGATCGTCTGTTGATGCCTATTGATATCATTCGTCGTTATTAAGCTGTATGTCGACGCTGTATAACGTATGATTTTTTAATTTCTTCGGGATAATTCAAAATCATTCGAAATTTTATTTCGTTCAAAATTGAAAAAAAAATTTAATGCAATAAAATATTTATGCGAATAAGTATTTAGTGATTAAAATTGTTTTTCTTAAATAAAAACTTTCTTAAATAAAAGTTGAACTAATTAAAAAAATTAATTTACTCAGAAATACTCGGTTTTAAAATGAAAAATTGTCAAGTCATCGTCAAGACAGAGAAAAAGCCGGCTCTGCGGTTGCATTATTCTTTTTACTGACACTTTTTCCTCACGTTGATGAACGTTGTTTAACGTCTGGACGTCAAGACATAAGCTTGAATAAATTCTTATTCTTTTTTTTTTCGCCAGTAATCGTGTTGTTCTGCGCATGTTGTGTACGTAATTTTGTCGCTCGCAAATGGCAACTGGTATTTATAGACAAAGCCGGTCTGTCACGAACGAGAACATACGTTTTATGAGCGCAAAATTGAGGAGACTGAAAAAGTACTTTGCAAATATGAAGTTCTAGAAAAAAAATTACATAGTACGCATATATTATTATTACTCAATTCTCCACTTATTTATTCGCCTTAGCGAAATTGTTCGATCGGAAATAATTACACTAAAAAAATAAATTGTTAACTTCATTAAACCGTTCAACTAAATT